TTAATTAACGCGAACAAACTATCATTTCCAGCAACGTCCGCGAGAGCGAACTGAGTATTTCTATCGTGTACGACAATCGGGAACGACACGAGAAACAACGTCCTCCGTCTTTCTAAAAGATTAGTTCGTTACATTCGATGATTTTCCCTTCTGTTCTTCTACGCGCGATCAGCAAAAACATTGTTCCGCAGCTTTTCTACCTCGTTTCCCTCCTTTTCTTTCTCCTCCAGCTAGAATCTGCTTTCGATCCAATCCGATGCACGCGATTCCATCGATCGCGATATCTGTTTTTTCCTGTGGCTTCGCGAAAAACCTTTAGCCTTTCTCTCCTCCTCCCTCTTTTTCTTTAGATTTACCCGAATTGTCGCACTGTTCCGAGCACTGTACTGTATCGCTTGTAAAACAGCTTGTATTAAAGATGAGCAACGCACCATCTCTAAACGTAGCCGAATTTGCCAAACTTCGTACGAACACACGCGCCGTGGTCCATACATCGAGGATCTTGTAGAAGACTGATTCGATTAATTATAAGGATTCGAGTGTCTTAAGATAACGAGAATTTTGAGGATTTTAAGAAAATGGAAATCTTAGTCGTATGTCGATAAGATTTATTTTCCATGATCACAATCGATGAAATATCGCGTACATAATGTGTGTGTGTAAGTATACAGAGCGAGGTACAGCGAGAAAGGAAGTTGGAGTAAAAATATTCGAATATTTTCTTGTTAGTTTTACGTTTAAATGTAAGTCTGCGATTATTAGGAAGAAAACGGGGGCAATTTTCTTTCAAAATTCTATCATTTGGGTCTTCTACTGTACCGGTTGTCCGTGCCGTTCGAATTTCTCCTTTGACATTTGTTACGCTTTACTGAACGAAGTTCTCCAAATTCTGGTTACGAAGACGCAACACGTTCTTGTGCCGTTGCCAGAGAAACTGTCTCGCACCGTCTGGGATGCTCAAATTTAATAGAAGTTCAATTTAACCGAGTAACCGAAAAAAACGAACAAAGAAGAATGTGGCGAGCGACGCGTTCATTTTCAAAAAGTAATTGTATACACGAGATAAAAAGAGAGATAACATAAAACGGGGCTTCAGTTTCTAGGGTAGGATATCTCCGTAGAGTATAGCTTGACATTTGTTACGAGTTTTAAATAAAAATTCTTCAAAGTGTACAGAATCCTTTCCTCGTGGTTTTTCTCTTGATTTATTCGACAACCCAGAAACCTGTACAACCCCTTCGATCGACGACGTTTCGGTCGTTTTCGGCACTCTTAGGTCTCGAAATCGGACTCGTCCGAGTCGCAACTAGACGAGATGTCATCCTCGATAAATCCTGACTCCTCGGGAATACCATCTCCCATGGGGATCCTGGAGAAACGACAAGATATTATCCCAAAAACACTGGTAACACTGGAAACGTTCGATTAAAAGCATTTTGTTAATCCTTCGTTGAACGCTGTTAGTCGATCAGGCAAGATTCTGATTAGTTTAACACCTTGAATGCCGGGCTAATTCTGTATAACTTGTCCGCGGCGGCGAAATGAATTTTTCATTTTAATACAACACATAGCGATATGCATAAATAATACGCCAACAGTTAGAAATGGAACTATTTAAACGTGCTGTGTGTAAAATTTGACAAGTCTTGCTATTTATTGAAATTAAACGCTTTTACTAGTCTTGACACCGCCGGTCACCGATGACCACGGCATTCAACGTGTTGAGAATGTCAGTGACAAATAACGCAGGTGTGGTTAAACACAGAATTTCTACACAAATCTTGCCTCAAATCGTCTAAATTATTCGCTAAGGAATGGCGGCGAGATGGTGCACCGCCGGTTTGTCCTGAATACACTTTGGAACCATTTTGGTTTTCCGTAAAATGCATTTTCGCGGACAACAGACCTCCACCAATGACCTACGTTCAGAAAAATCTTCCCATTATCCTTGTCTCAGTTCCAATCCCTTCTTCGCTCTCGCAAAAGAACGATTTTTTTCTCTCTACGTACTTATCTACACTCCAGTCTTCGCCACAGTCCTTCATCATCGACAAAGCTTGACAGAAATCCTGGCCGATGGTGTTCAGATGCTTCGTGTCCAGATGCAGGCCAGCCAAGTCTCCTTGATCGCAGCCGCAGAAGCTGCTCTCCATCGTGTAGCTTCTGTTTGACGATCGATGGAATCGAACATTGTTAACACGTTTCGTATTCGTGTTTTCGACGAAATATTCCAACGGAAAGTTTTGAAAATTGCAGAAAATTGTAAATTTGCCGGGAAAAGTCTCGACGTACCTCGAAACACCTAACTGCCGCCATATGGCTACCCTGGCCGTGGACTCCTTGTTCCTCTCGACCTTGAACGAGCACAGTGGCAACGCGAACGCCGGGGATATTCTTTGCATGAGGTGCGGCAACATCTGAAACGCGTATCAGAAGGATCGTGAGAGTTACACGCACCGTACGAGCCTCCTATTGTGATTCTCCCGAGGCTCCGATCCGAAAAAGTGAAACTCCCTCGCAACCGTCTGTCGAACGATCTCGTATTTCGGCCTCCTAAGAACCGCTCGCTCGTAAATTCGCTTCGATAGATCGCGCTAGATCACCGTTTCTTTAGACCCGCGTGTAATTCTCTAGTTCCTCTCACTCGTGCGCCTCTCTTTCGTTCCCCTTACCAAATACTGTGCCGGCTGGTCCGGTTTCGCCCTGTCCGCGGCACTCCAAGAGCCCGACCTTGAGCAACCGAAGAGAAACACGTTCTTCCTCCGTGAATGGCCGTGATAGTCGACGAAAACGTAGGGAGGCCTCTGCAACACCCTCGTGCAATACTCCATCAAGCCCTTGGTATGGTAGATCACCGGATGTAGCACCTGGTTCGGGTTGCTCCATCGTCTGTTCAAGTCCTCGTTCGTCAGACCGTATCGATTGCTGTAATCAATCGGAGAGGATTGACCGTTTAACACACGTTTGCATACTCTCACAGAGAGGGAGACGGCGTATCTGTAGAAATGGATTTGAAATAGCCTGTTATTATTCACGAAGGGCAGAATCGTTTATCAATCGGAGAAGGCACATTGTAATCGAATACTGTACGATTTATAATCGCGGGGAACGATCGAACGTAATTAATCGAGGCTTATTTATATCATAGAACTGTTCCGAGAAGCACGGTTTTAGAATTTCCTGTCAAGTTTGCACGTCGATGATGCACGTTGCCGCGCGCGATACTC